GTCCGTATCTTTGGGGTGGTGTCTTAAAAAAAAAAAAAAAATTAAGGAAAACACTTTGCAAAGATTCCAGTGGAATTAGGCAGATATCTCAGGTGAAAACCTGGAACTATTGCTCTGAGTGCTGGGCCCAGCGTCCCGGGGGCTTGCTCCCCTCCTCATCCCGTTCCCCGGCTCGGGGAGCCCAGCTTGTGTCCCCGTGGGACTCCCGAGGCAGGGCTCAGGGCTGGGGCCAGGAAGCTGAGGCTGAGGCTGAGGCTCTTCCCCAACCACTCGTGACTGTGTGCCCCCTGTCCCAGCAGTTCTGTCGGCCCAGGGGACTCAGGCATTGCAGACGGCCCAGAGGAGTGCCCAGTGGGCAATAAACCGAGTGGCGATGGAGATCCAGCACAGATCGTATGAGTGCCAAGGTGCCCACCCTGCCCCCTGTGCCCCAGTGAACTTGCTGCCTACCTCGGGCCCATGCTGCTGCCCCTGTCCCTCCCTTCAGTCTTCACGCCCCTCTTGGGGGCAAAGACTGACTTGGGCTGCAACCAAGGCCACTGTCATGAAGGTCTGTCTCTCCAAATGGAAACCACATGCGAAACACTTGGCTGGTGAGGTGACCAGGAGAAGTTCATGGTTGCTGAAACAGAACCCGTGTGGGCTGGAGGGCTGAGCGCAAAAGGAGAGATGGGGAGAGAGGGACTCAGCCCAGCCCGGCGTGAGGACAGGCAAGAGGTCGGCAGTAAGTCTCAAAGGTGTGTTTCTCCGCAGGATCTGGGCGCCCCAGGCCTCAAGCTCCCCTTCAGGACCCACCTGAGCCAGGTGAGGCTGAAAAGGTTCCAGGGGGAAGGCCCGAGAGCCGGGTAGGCCTCGAAGGCGAGGATGGCCAGAACGTGTCCCTCGTGACACCCCTTGTGCCTTTCTAGGGCCGTGCGGCGAGAGGCGCCCGAGCACTGCCAATGTGACGCGGGCCCACGGGCGCATCGTAGGGGGCAGCGCGGCGCCGCCTGGGGCATGGCCCTGGCTGGTGAGGCTGCAGCTCGGTGGGCAGCCTCTGTGCGGCGGCGTCCTGGTGGCGGCGTCCTGGGTGCTCACGGCGGCGCACTGTTTTGTGGGGTAAGTCAAACCCCCAGACCCTCCCAGCCGGGGTTCCCAGCACTGAGCCTCGAACCTGCAGGGTTGTCCAGCGGGCGAAGGGCGGGAAAGCTGGTCTCTGCTGACCCCTGGCGGCGGCTTTGCCCTGGGCTTCCCCGTCTCAAGGCGCCGCGCCCGCCCCACCAGGATGCCAGCCCGGATGGGGTGGCGTGCGGGAAGAGGGGTAGGGTCCCCAAGGGACCCGCTGCGCGCGCCCTTGTCCTTCCTGAGTCTCAGCCGCCTCTCGCCTCGCAGCGCCCCGAATGAGCTTCTGTGGACTGTGACGCTGGCCGAGGGGCCCCGGGGGGAGCAAGCAGAGGAGGTGCCCGTGAACCGCATCCTTCCCCACCCCAAGGTGAGAAGGCAGTCCCCAGCCCCCGGAGCTGGGCACCGCACGCCCACGCGCGCCTCCTTGACCCTGCGCCGCCTCCCCCTCCTCAGTTTGACCCGCGGACCTTCCACAACGACCTGGCCCTGGTGCAGCTGTGGACGCCAGTGAGCCCGGAGGGGCCGGCACGACCCGTGTGCCTGCCCCAGGAGCCCCAGGAGCCCCCTGCAGGCACCGCCTGTGCCATCGCGGGCTGGGGGGCCCTCTTCGAAGGTACCGGGCCTGGGTGAGCCGACACGTGGTGGGAAGAATTGGGGGTCCGAGGTGACGGAGTGTGAGGAGGCCCGGCTGCCTTGGAAAAATTCTGCCTGTTCTTTCAAAGGGGGAGGAATTAAGGGGGGTGGCGGGAAGGGGACTCTCAAGACGGGGCTCTTGCCTTCCACCCCTGAGCCTTCCACCCTTTCTCTGTAGATGGGCCTGAGGCTGAGGCAGTGAGGGAGGCCCGTGTTCCCCTGCTCAGCGCCGACACCTGCAGAAAGGCCCTGGGGTCCGGGCTGCGCCCCAGCACCATGCTCTGCGCCGGGTACCTGGCAGGGGGCGTGGACTCGTGCCAGGTATGAACCCAGTCTGATGAGAAAAGGTCGGCTGAGCCTCCCCTAGGGCCAGGACGGCGTCCTTTCCTTCCATGTACGGCTGTCACTCGACTTCTCTGAGCCCCTCTGTCCTCATCGCTAAAATGGATATAAGTGGCAACTGCAGGAGAGCTCACATCTGCCAGGTGTAAGGTGGGCGTCATCGGGGCAGGTGAATGCAGTGTCCTCTCTCTTGGCTCCGCAGGGTGATTCCGGAGGCCCCCTAACCTGTTCTGAGCCTGGCCCCCGCCCTAGAGAGGTCCTGTTCGGAGTCACCTCCTGGGGGGACGGCTGCGGGGAGCCAGGGAAGCCCGGGGTCTATACCCGCGTGGCGGTGTTCAAGGACTGGCTCCAGGAGCAGATGAGCGGTGAGCGCCCTCTTTCCAATGCCCCGTCCCCAGTGTCCCAGCGACAGCCGTGGGACAAGCCCGTTTCTACCCGGCCCGTGCCCATTCCCAGCTCCCTTCTGCCTCAGGAAAGCCTGTCTCCCTCCGGGGAAGGAATGCGGGCTCCAGAGCCCCAAACAGAGGGTGAGCGGACCCCTGTCCCTCCCGCAGCAGCCCCCTCCAGCCGCGAGCCCAGCTGCAGGGAGCTTCTGGCCTGGGACCCGCCCCAGGAGCTGCAGGCAGATGCCTCCCTGCTCTGCGCCTTCTACGCCCGCCTGTGCCCGGGGTCCCAGGGCGCCTGTGCGCGCCTGGCGCACCAACAGTGCCTGCAGCGCCGGCGGCGATGCGGTGAGTCCTGTTCCCCGGGACCCCGACCAGGGGCGGAGGGGAGGGGGCCTGGCCCGCCTCTGACCGCCGCTCGGACTCCGGTCCCGCCTGCAGAGCTGCGCTCGCTGGCGCACACGCTGCTCGGTCTGCTGCGGAACGCCCAGGAGCTGCTCGGTCCGCGACCGGGGCTGCGGCGCCTGGCCCCGGCCCTGGCTCGCCCCGCTCCAGCGCTCGCGGAGTCTCCCCGGCACCCCGCCCGCGAGCTGCGGCTGCACTCAGGTACCCCGCTCCCTCCGGCCCCGCCTAGCCCCGGCCCGGCCCCACCCGCGCGGCGGAGCCACTTTCTCCGGCCGAGGCGGACCCCTAACCCTGCGCCTCTCCAGGATCGTGGGCTGGCACTCGGTTCCCGAAGCGGAGGCCGGAGCCTCGCGGAGAAGCCAACGGTAATGACGCCCCCTGCCGACCGTCGGGAGCGGGTAGGCCCAGGGCCTGGACAGGGTCGGAAGCGCTTCTGCGGGGGAGGGGTGCCAGCTCCGGGAAGCACTTGCCCCGTGGGGCCACAGGGTAGACTCGCTCTCCCCTCCCAGCCATAGAGCGGATGACTGTTTTGGAGGACTTGCGGTTTTAGCCCTCAACAGCGTCAGAAACGCTCTGCCTGAAGTTACTGCTTAACTTCTCTGAGCCTCAGTTTCCCCATCTATAGCATAAGGAAGATAAGTGTGCCTCCTGGGAGGCCGTCCTGAGGTGCCGGTGGCAGTGCCACCCCCTCCCGTTCCTTACTCCCGGGGCCTCTCTTCCTGCAGGCTGCCCTGGGCTGGAGCCCTTGCGACAGAAGTTGGCTGCCCTGCAGGGGGCCCACGCCTGGATCCTGCAGGTCCCTTCGGAGCACCTGGCCATGAACTTTCATGAGGTAGGTCCCCAGGCTTCCAGACGCCTTCACGGTGGTGCAGAGGGCCCAACCCCCATGCCCTCCCAGCAGCCTGGGGTCGCCTCTGCCCCAGCTCTGGGGGGAGGTAGAGGGTCCTAGGGGAAGGGAGTGGGGCCTGCGGAGTGTGGGCCAGGCCAATGGGGGTGGTGGCGGGGACAGTGAGTAGAGGGGAGGGTTGGGGTGTCCAAGTGAGCTGGAACAGCAGGGTTGTGGGGAGAAGGGGAGGAGCATGGGTCTAGGTGAGAGTTTCTGGGGCCCAGGGGGAGGGAGGTGACCTCTGGGATTCCCACTCAGGAGTGAGTTTCTGGGCCCCTGATGCCCCCTCCTCCCTCTGTAGGTCCTGGCAGATCTGGGCTCCAAGACACTGACTGGGCTTTTCAGAGCCTGGGTGCAGGCAGGCTTGGGGGGCCGGTACGTGGCCTTCAGCGGCCTAGTGGGCCTGGAGCCGGCCACGCTGGCTCGAAGCCTCCCCCGGCTGCTGGTGCAGGCCCTGCAGGCCTTCCGCTTGGCTGCTCTGGCAGAAGGGGAGCCCGAGGGACCCTGGATGGATGCAGGGCAGGGGCCTGGGCTGGGGAGGAAGGGCCACCACCCACTCAACCCTCAGGTTCCCCCGGCCAGGCAACCATGAACCATGTCTGGGCCGCAGCCCCTGGGGAGGACTTACTGCTCCTAGGGACTGAGAATGACAAACCGTCGCTGCACAGCTGGCTGGGTGTGTGCGGGTGGGATGGGGTGGGGGTCCTGGGCCCCCATGTCTTCCCAGGTTTACAATCAGAGAATCACAGCTGCTTTAATAAATGTTATTTATAATACACGGAAACAACTCTGGAGCTTTCTTGGGATGGGGCCCGGTGGGTGGGCGTTCAGTCTCAGGGGTGGGGCCCAGGCGAGGCTGCCTCTGGAAGCAGTTGGCAAGGGTCACAGAAGCTGGAAAGGGGCTGGAGGCCCCCATCTGAGCCTCTCTCCTGCCTGCCGAGAAGTGGCAGCAGCTGGCCTGGCTGCCGCCCCGCCCCCAGGCATGGCTACCCTGTGCTGGCCCCAGTGCCCTGCGTCTCTTCCCAGCTCCCCACCCCCGCCGCCACCACCGAGCTTCAGGAAGTCCCAGGCTGGGATCTTTGCCTCCTCATGTCCTTGGGCTTCTGCCCTGGCTGGCCCGCTCCCCACCACCATGAGGTGTCAGATTGTGCTTCCGGCAGCCTCTTCCCGTTGACTCCCTCCTCCCCCCAACACCTGTCCCCTCTCCCGCCCACCCTCATTCCACAGCCTGTAGACGGGAGGGGCAGATGCCAAGTCCCAGTCAGAAGGTTGGGATGGAAGGACCAGTGCTGACGCTGGGGCTGCTGGCCGCCCTGGCCGTGTGTGGTAAGGGTAGACATCCTTCCCACCCTGGGGTCCCCCGTGATGCCCACTCGGCCCCACACTGCATGGCCTCCCCTCACTCTCTCCTCTTCCACTCTGCCATCTCTCCCTGCGGGGGCCGCCTTCTGGGGTCCCCACTCCCAGGAAGTGGCTGGATTCCTCCACTCATCCCAACCTCATGATCCAGCAGGACCTGAGAGCAGCTTCCTCCCTGAGTCCCCTGCCCAGGGCCCCATTCAGTCCTTGTCCCTAACCCTCCCCAGGCAGCCAGGGGCTGAACGAGGAGGAGCGGCTGATCCGGCACCTGTTTCAAGAGAAGCGCTACAACAAGGAGCTCCGGCCGGTGGCACACAAAGAGGAGAGTGTGGACGTCGCCCTGGCCCTCACGCTCTCCAACCTCATTTCCCTGGTGAGAGGCCCTCGTGTGCTGGGTTGGGAGGGAGGGCAAGGACAGCTTCCCAGGACCCAGATAGCCGTGGAGGAAGCTGGAAGCCCCCACCTGGCCTATGGTTGCTCCTCCCTGGGAAACAGGTTTTGGCTGCTCTGGGCCCTGTGAGGCCGCTGTCCTTCCCCTCCAGCGTCAGCTCTGGGGTGTCCCCATCCACACCCACAGCACGCCACATCTGTGACACACTTCAGAGGCCACTCGACCTCTCTGCTCCCTGGCTGCCCATCTACTCCTGACTGCGAGTTTTCAGGGCCCAGATGCCATGGTTTCCGGGTGCCAGTTGAGAGTGGGTGAATGCAAGCTAGGTGCCACGGCTCACACCTGTAGTCTCAGTACTCTGGGAATCTGAGGTGGGCGGATCACCTGAGGTCAGAAGTTTGAGACCAGCCTGGCCAGCATGGCGAAACCCCATCTCTACTAAAAATACAAAAATTAGCCGAGAGTGATGGCATGCACCTGTAATCCCAGCTACTAGGGAAGCTGAGGCAGGAGAATTGCTTGAACCTGGGAGGCAGAGGTTGCAGATTGCAGTGAGCCAAGATCATATCTCTGCACTTCAGCCTTGGTAATTGAGCAAGACTCCATCTGAGAGAGAGAGAGAGAGAGAGAGAGAGAGAGAGAGTGGGTTAATGTGTGTGGGTAAAAGAATGATGTGGCCTGAAGGATGGCCCTCCCGTCTGATTACAGAAAGAAGTTGAGGAGACCCTCACTACCAATGTGTGGATAGAGCACGTAAGAATACCTCTCACAGAGCCGTTGACGTGGTGGGGGATTCAGGGCTTCCTTCACCTAGTGCCCTCACCAGCCCTGATGGCACCTTCAAGTGGATTAGGATTCATGTGTTGGAAAATTGCTACCTTATCTTGATTTTTATTAGAAAACACTCTCCCCCAGCCTGCCAAAAGTCCACAATACAGACACAGACCATCTATGCCCACAGTGGAAATAGTGCTCCCTTAGACATGCAGTGAGCATCCTGCACAGCTGTCCACGACAGACCTGAATCTGCACTCTGTACCTGCCTTCCCAAACCTCTTCTGTCACGGCTCTCAGACCCTGTTCAGTCTTCTCTCAGGGAAGTAGGGGACCAGGAGGCTGGCCAGCTGCAGAGCGTACTGCTGACGTGCCTCTGGGCTTCCAGGGCTGGAAAGACAGCCGGCTGATGTGGAATGCTGAAGAATTTGGAAACATCAGTGTCCTGCGCCTGCCCCCGGACATGGTGTGGCTCCCAGAGATTGTGCTGGAGAACAAGTTGAGAAAGCCCCTCCATCTCCCCTCTGTCACCCTGCCTCCTTGCTTAAGCCTCCTGCACCTCCCACAGCTCTGCCAGTCCTGAGCGGCCAGAGCTCACTGTGGTTCTTGTCCCTGTCCCCCAGCAACGACGGCTCCTTCCAGATCTCCTACTCCTGCAATGTGCTCGTCTATGACTATGGCTTTGTGTACTGGCTGCCGCCTGCCATCTTCCGCTCCTTCTGCCCCATCTCTGTCACCTATTTCCCCTTCGACTGGCAGAACTGCTCGCTCAAGTTCAGGTGTGCCCATTTCTCCAGCCACCCCTCACCCCAAGGCACCCTGCCAGGGGCCAAAGGAAGTGACTGAAGTGTCCTCAGGCAGAGCACCCTGCCCTGTCTGGATGAGTGCCGCCCTCTCCCATAACTGTCCTCCCTTACCAACCCTCCCCTACTCTGTGGCCCCAACCAGCGGTTGAGTGTCACTGTCTGCCTATTGCCCTCCCCAGCTCCCTCAAGTACACGGCCAAAGAGATCACTCTGAGCCTGAAGCAGGACACCGAAGACGATCGCAGCTACACCGTGGAGTGGATCATCATTGACCCTGAAGGCTTCACAGGTGCTGGGAACAGCCGCTGGTGGGCAGACAGGTCCCTCAGACATACACGCACAGGCACAGACACACTGGCACTGCCCACCCCAAAGATACACACGTGCACACACACACACACACACACACACACACACCCCTCAGACACAGACACACAGCTACTCACACATGCAGCTAGATACAGACGGGCAGACACGTGCCTGTCCGCAGAGAGGCACCCAGACACTCACTTCCTGAAGGCAAAGATATCCCAAAGGCAGAGAGAGACAGTGCCAGGGGCCTCCCCACACCTGCTCAGGCCCGGAAGTCATGCCTCTCATACAGGAAATGCCTGTGGCTGATGGGTTTCGTCCTTCCTGGGCCTGGAGAGCCCAGGGGTGTGGTTGGCAGGGGTGTGTCATCTTGATGGGGGGTATTCGAACCCTCCTGACATCCTCATCCCCGGTCTGTGCCCAGGCTCGGATTCTCCATGGGGCCTACCACTTGCCCCGTCCATCAGAAGGGTCCTGTCCCACTGTCCCAGGCTGGCACATCATGGCGGGGATAGTTTCACTCTCACTGGCTCGTTATTATCCCCAAGGCCCGGGCCGAGGGGGAGCAGCTCAATTAATGTCGATGAGGCTTTCTTTGTCTTTGAAGACAGGCTCAGCGTCTGAGAGCATTTGTTTGACTCGGTGTCTCTAATCTGCAATATCTATTGTTGGCTTGGGTATCTTTTGAGCCAAAACACATTCCTTATTTGAGCCCTGTATGGACTCAGCTTCTATTTTTTCCAAAAAGAGGAAAAAAAGATCAGTCACAGAGGAAAATTTCCCCCTCACAGATGGAAACTTCCATCCCAACCTCCCAGTCAATGATGCCCACCAACAGGACCCCAGACAGCCCTGCCACGTGTCTGGAGTGGCTCGCCCCGACCAGCCCCTCATTCTGTCCCGAGGCCCTGCTCAGCTCCTTTGGCCCGGCCTGAGCCTAAGGTATCCATGTGCCTCCCACAGAGAATGGGGAATGGGAGATAGTCCACCGGCCGGCCAGGGTCAACGTGGACCCCAGAGCACCTCTGGACAGCCCCAGCCGCCAGGATGTCACCTTCTACCTCATCATCCGCCGCAAGCCCCTCTTCTATGTCATCAACATCCTGGTGCCCTGTGTGCTCATCTCCTTCATGGTCAACCTGGTCTTCTACCTCCCGGCCGACAGTGAGCCTCCAGGCCCCACCCCCAGCTCCCCCCCGAAAGCCCACCCAAGCACAACCAGCCCCAGCCCAACCAGCCCCAGCCCTGTCCCTCGCTTCCTCCTGGGAACTACCTGGGGTCTCCATTCCTGGAGCTCCCTGCCCCCGAGGGGTCCAGGTGTGAGGGCCAGGCGGCTGCCCAGGAGGAGGGCTGTAGGACCCTGTGCGACATCCGAAAATAGACAGGGCAGGGTATCTCCAAGATGCTACTTCCCCCGACTCTCAGAAGAACTGCCAAGCTGTCTCTCTGTCAGGACAGAGACCAAGTCTCTCATGGTCACCAGCGTGTGACCGTGAGCCCTGAACACAGGAGGCCCTCAACTGTCGAACCAGTGGGTGAATAATGGTCTGTAGGACAGCAGGGTGTGAAGCAGAAAACCCCTCGATGCCCACCCTGACTCTAGGAGGCAGTGGTTTACAAGTTCAGAATATTTACTACGAGCAAGGCACAGTGAGTCCCAGGGTCAAAGGCCACCCAGCCCGTGCCCCTGGCAGACAGGGCAGAAACCTCAGGACTTGAGGAGGGAGAAGGGGGCACGTTCCATCTGCAGTGGGGTGGGAGGGCTCCTAGAGGAGGGGGAGCCTGAGTGGACTTGAGCAGGACGGGGTGGGCCACCCCAGGCAGGAGGAGCAATGCTGATGAGGAGGGGCTGGGCAGAGGCTGAGGGGACCTCATAGTGGAGCCCCTCTTCCCACCCTTGCCATCACACGCAGGAGCTCAGGTGGAAAGAGGAGGACAGCACTGGCCTGGGGTCTTTAAGTGAGAGGCTAGGAGTTGGGGTGTTATCCTGGTGGTAGGAGGACACCCTGGTGCTTTCTAAGCAGGGAGTGACACACAGATCTGTGCTCCAGGAGGGTTCAGTGGTGGAGGCAGGCTAATGGTGACAGCTGATGTCTCTCTCACCACATTTAACAGTTGAGAAAACTGATGCACAGAGAGGTTGGGCTACTTGCCCAAGGTCACCCAGCTAGTAAGTGGCAGAGCTGAGATTTGCACCCAGGCACTCTATCTCCATAGCCCATGATTTCCATCAGGGTACCATGTGTAAACAGAGGTGCCAGGGGCTACAGCAGGACCCTCTAGGATTGGGGCCCCAAGGACACAGCTAAGTCTGGCTTCCCCAGGTGGTGAGAAGACATCAGTGGCCATCTCCGTGCTCCTGGCTCAGTCCGTCTTCCTGCTGCTCATCTCCAAGCGGCTGCCCGCCACATCCATGGCCATCCCCCTCATCGGCAAGTGAGTGGCGCCCAAGCCCAGCCCCCGACTGCTGGCCCAGCCCAGCCCTGGGGCTCCAAGCTGAGTGTGTGTCCACAGGTTCCTGCTCTTCGACATGGTGCTGGTCACCATGGTTGTGGTGATATGTGTCATCGTGCTCAACATCCACTTTCGAACACCCAGCACCCACGTGCTGTCTGAGGGGGTCAAGAAGGTGAGCACTCGGCCCGGCATGATGGCTCACCACTGTAGTCCTGGCACTTGGGGAGGCTGAGGCAGGAGAATTGTTTGAACCAGGGAGTTGGAGACTAGCCTGGGCAGCATAGTGACACCCTTGTCTCTACAAAAAATAAAAAAAAAAAAATAGCCAGCTGTGGTGGCACAGGCTTGTAGATCCAGCTACCCAAGAGGCTGATGTGGGAGGATCACTTGAGCCTGGGAGATCAAAGCTGCAGTGAGCTGTGATGGCACCAGGGCACTCCACCCTGGGCAACAGAGTGAGACCTGGTCTCAAAAAAAACGTGAAGAAAATGAGCACTCTCAATAGTCAAAAGCTAGAGATTGAGCCAGATACAGTGCCTCATGCCTGGAGTCAGCTACTCAGGAGGCTGAGGTGGGAGGATCAGTGGAACCCAGGAGTTGGAGGTTGCAATGTGCTATGATCACACCACTGCACATCAGCCTGGGCAACAGATTGAGATCTTGTCTCTTAAAAAAAAAAAAAAAAAAAAAGCTGGGCCAGGCACAGTAGCTCATACCTGTAATTCCAACACTTTGGGAGGCTGAAGCAGGCGGATCACCTGAGGTCAAGGAGTTCAAGATCAGCCTGGCAAACATGGTGAAACCTACTAAAAATACAAAAATTAGCCAGGCGGCTGGGCACAGTGGCTCAAGCCTGTAATCCCAGCACTTTGGGAGGCCGAGGCGGGTGGATAATGAGGTCAAGAGATCGAGAACATCCTGGTCAACATGGTGAAACCCCGTCTCTACTAAAAATACAAAACATTAGCTAGCCATGGTGGCGCGTGCCTGTGATCCCAGCTACTCAGGAGGCTGAGGAAGGAGAATTGCTTGAACCCAGGAGGTGGAGGTTGCAGCGAGCCGAGATCGCGCCATTGCACTCCAGCCTGGGTAACAAGAGCGAAACTCCGTCTCAAAAAAAAAAAAAAAAGATTAGCCAGGTGTGGTGGTGGGTGCCTGTAATCCCAGCTACTCAGGAGGCTGAGGTATGAGAATTTCTTGAACCCAGGAGGTGGAGGTTGCAGTGACCCGAGATTGCACCACTGCACTCCAGCCTGGGCAACAAAACACCGTCTCAAAAAAAAAAACAAAAAAACAAAAACAAAAACTGGAAGTTGTCCAAAGGCCATCTGCAGAATGGGTAGACACTGGGCATATGCTCCCATGGGAGTGCAGCTCAGCAGTGCAGAAGCACCAGCAGCTGCTGCATCCCTTCACACGTGAACCTCCTGGCACAGTGTTCCATGAAACCAGAGGCAGGCCGGGCGCGGTGGCTCACGCCTGTAATCCAACACTTTGGGAGGCCGAGGTGGGTGGATCACCATAGGTCAGGAGTTTAAGACCAGCCTGGCCAACATGGTGAAACCCTGTCTCTACTAAAAATACAAAAGTTAGCTGGGTGTGGTGGCGAGCGCTTGTAATCCCAGCTACTCAGGAGGTTGAGGCAGGAGAATGGCCTGAACCTGGGAGGCGGAGGTTGCAGTGAGCCGAGATAGCACCACTGCACTCCAGCCTGGGCAACAGAGTGAGACTCTGTCTCAAAAAAAGAAAAGAAAAGAAACCAGATGCAGCAGCAAACTGCAGGGTTCACTTTGTAAGTTCAAGAACAGGCAAAACCAATGCTTGGTGACAGAAGTCAGAATGGTGGCTGTATCTGGAGCTGGGAGGGAACTGAGCCGGGGCAGGTGTGAGGGAGATTTTTGGGGATCGTGTTCACTATCTCATCTGGGTGGTGATTACCCAGTAGAATGCATCTGTAAAAATTTGCCTAGCTATATACTTAAGATTTGGTCATTCCACTGTAAGCTGCAACTCATAAGGAAGAAGGGGATGACCGAGCAGCCAGGGTGCTCGGGAGGGGGTGCCCTTGCCTCTTGGCTACTACAGGGCAGGCTGGCTGCTCTGAAGGCAGTTTAGCAACTCTTTTTTTTTTTTTTTTTTTTTTTTTTTTTTTTTTTGAGATGGAGTCTCCCTCTGTCAGACAGGCTAGAGTGCAGTGGTTTGATCTCAGCTCACTGCAATCTCTGCTTCCCAGTTTCAAGTGATTCTCCTGCCTCAGCCTCCTGAGTAGCTGGGATTACAGGCACCCACCACCACACCTGGCTAATTTTTGTATTTTTAGTAGAGACAGGGTTTCACCATGTTGGCTAGGCTGGTCTTGAACTCCTGACCTCAGGTGATCTGCCCACCTCGGCCTCCCAACATGCTGGGACTATAGGCGTGAGCCACCGCACCCGGCCTTAGCAACTCTTTTTGTCTTTCAGCATTTGATGGGGGAGAGCCTAGCATTTGGGGCATTTACCCTACTTTTTGGTCTTTAATTAATCATTTTTAGTGAGTGGGTTCTGCTCCGCACTGTGGGTGATGTGGGGGAGCTAGAAGCAACCTACGTGTGCATCAGCAGGAAGTTGGGGACATCAATGACAGAGTCAGACTCGGGGGCACCTTATGGAAGCCAGGAATGAAGTCACAGATGTTAGGACATGTAGCGGTTACCCCATGTTTGTAAAATGGCCTTTCTTGGGCGGGCGTGGTGGCTCACACCTGTCATCCCAGCACCTTGGGAGGCCAAAGTGGACAGATCATGAGGTCAAGAGATAGAGACCATCCTGGCCGACATGGTGAAACCTCGTCTCTACAAAAATTATAAAAATTAGCTGGGTGTGTTGGTGTATGCCTGTGATCCCAGCTACCTGGGAGGCTGAGGCAGGAGAATCACTTGAACCCGGGAGGTGGAGGTTGCAGTGAGCTGAGATGGAACCACTGTGCTCCAGCCTGGCACCAGAGTGAGACTCCGTCTCAAAAAAAAAAAAAAAAAAAAAAGGCCGGGCGCGGTGGCTCAAGCCTGTAATCCCAGCACTTTGGGAGGCCAAGGTGGGTGGATCACGAGGTCAAGAGATCGAGAACGTCCTGGTCAACATGGTGAAACCCCGTCTCTACTAAAAATACAAAAAATTAGCTGGGCATGGTGGCGCGTGCCTGTAATCCCAGCTACTCAGGAGGCTGAGGCAGGAGAATTGCCTGAACCCAGGAGGCGGAGGTTACGGTGAGCCGAGATCGCGCCGTTGCACTCCAGCCTGGGTAACAAGAGTGAAACTCCATCTCAAAAAAAAAAAAAAAAAAAAAAAATACCTTTCTTGTGGCTCCTTGACCCGGCCCCAGCTCTTCCTGGAGACGCTGCCGGAGCTCCTGCACATGTCCCGCCCGGCGGAGGATGGACCCAGCCCCGGGGCCCTGGTGAGGAGGAGCAGCTCCCTGGGCTACATGTCCAAGGCGGAGGAGTACTTCTCACTCAAGTCCCGCAGCGACCTCATGTTCGAGAAGCAGTCAGAGCGGCATGGGCTGGCCCGGCGCCTCACCACTGCACGTGGGTCCCTGCTGGTCTTGGTTTTCAGCCCATCTGTGGGAGATGGGTGGGGGCAGGTCTCACACCCTCTCTGGCCCCTTGTCTATAGGCCGGCCCCCAGCAAGCTCTGAGCAGGCCCAGCAGGAACTCTTCAGTGAGCTAAAGCCAGCTGTGGACGGGGCAAACTTCATTGTTAACCACATGAGGGACCAGAACAATTACAATGAGGTAAGGGGCCACAGGATTGCCATGCACAGGTGTTCAAGCTGGGCACTGATTAAGTGTATCCTATCTTTTTGTTGTCGTTGTTCTTGTTTTCTTCTTTTTTTGATTTTTTTAAAAATTTCTTTGATTCTTTTAAGTGTATCCTATCTTAAGAGGGCAGGGTTCCCCTTAGAGACACACAGCAACTTAGATGGAGTTAATGTGATACAGATTCCAGGCACGCAACACAGCAGCACTGGGGCCGGCACACACATAGGCACAGCCCCACCCTGTCCAGGCCACACTCTGAGCATCCCTTAGGGTCCCTTCTTTCTCTCAGCTGCCAATCATTTTCTGTCCCTACTCAGTTTCAAGCCCGATGCTCCCAGACAGAACCAGACATTTACAAGGTAGCCATATACGGCTATTCAACATTATACAACTTCTAAAAATTCTCTCTTGAGAAAAGGGCACCTTTTCCCAATTCACATAGGGACCGGCAGCAGACCTGACTTGCTGGGGTAGGGGAGAGAGAGGAGAGGGAGGAAAGGGGCCTGTCCACCTTCCTTGGCCCCCAAGAGAGACCCCTGGGCCCCAGCTCCTCTCCAGCCCTGAAGCCCTGTGTTAGAGTGGAGAGGGAGGCTAGAGTCTATTCTCTGCCTCCTCAACAGGGTGACCAGTCCTGTCTGTGGCCAGAGGGGCCTGGGCCCTTGCTGGGGACAAGCTGGCACATCCTGTCTGCTGCAAGCCCGAGGCGGCCTCTGCAGACACACTGAGCCGTGCCTCTGCCTCCCTGACTGGGCCCCAGCTTGGGGGTGGGGCTCTGTGGTCTGAGTCCCTTCTCACCCCACTCTCTCTGCCCCCACCCACAGGAGAAAGACAGCTGGAACAGGGTGGCCCGCACAGTGGACCGCCTCTGCCTATTTGTGGTGACACCTGTTATGGTGGTGGGCACAGCCTGGATCTTCCTGCAGGGGGTCTATAACCAGCCCCCACCCCAGCCTTTCCCTGGAGACCCCTACTCCTACCACGTGGAGGATAAGCGCTTCATCTAGAGTGGGCTGTGGGGGAGCCAGGAGACAGCAGGTCTGAGAGGAGCCACAGTCCCTCATGAGACTGACTTCTAGCCCTGAGGTTCGCACCCCTTAGGCTGGGCAGAGTCCGAGGAAGGGAGAGAACAGCCACTCCTCAAGGCTCAGTGGTTCCTCTGCAAATCGACACAGGGGCCACCTGAGATGGTCTGAGGGTGGACGTCGGCTAGAGGGGGTGGGCAGGAAGATTTGGGGGGAAGCAGGAGGCCGGCTTGGGGGCCAGGGGGGAGGCCACTCGAGGTGGCCTCAGCGGGAGAGCTCTGATTAGGGTGAGACAGTTAGCGCCCTTCTCTGCTCCCCCTCCTGCAAGGTGTGGGGTAGAGCAGGCAGGAATCTGCACCTTCACTCTCTGGCTCCCCCAGGCTCCCTCTTCCCACCCACCCTTCAATTTCAGGCTTCTGAGGCCTTACCTGGAACTGAGGTTGAGGACACCTCCCTTCCTCCAAACCCGAGTGTCCTTTCCCAGCTCTTTCTGCCTTGACCATTCTGCCCAGATCCCTTTGGGAAGCTGAGGACTGGAGTGGAAAGGTCAGGATCAACATCCACAAAGACTTGGGGTCAGCCTGAGGTCGAATGCACAGTTCTAGAGGACCGGAATGCAGTGCCCCGCTCCCCGGCACCTACTCCTCCCCAAAGCAGGGTTGTCATGCATTATTTGGGGGCATACATATTCTAAAAAATCATTTGTCATTTATCTGTTTTTTTTTTTTTTTTTTTTTTGAGACGGAGTTTCACTCTTGTTACCCAGGCTGGGGTGCAATGGCGCGATCTCGGCTCACCGCAACCTCCGCCTCCTGGGTTCAGGCAATTCTCCTGCCTCAGCCTCCTGAGTAGCTGGGATTACAGGCACGCACCACCATGCCCAGCTATTTTTTTTGTATTTTTAGTAGAGACGGGGTTTCACCATGTTGACCAGGATGGTCTCGATCTCTTGACCTTGTGATCCACCCGCCTCGGCCTCCCAAAGTGCTGGGATTACAGGCTTGAGCCACCGCGCCCGGCCACTGTCATTTATCTGAAATTTATCCTGTGTTTTTATTTGCTAAATCTAGCAACCTTATCCCGAAGGCAGCCTCCACTCAATCCTATCCTGAGGGCTAACGGCCAAGGCTGCAGGAATTGGGAGACAAGGGTCTGTTTGTATGGCAGCCCACTTCCAAGATGGCCCCAGCAATGCCCAATATTCACACCCTTGTGCAGTCCCCTAACTCTGTACCAGGGTGGGTCTGGGTAACCAACAGAATGAGGCAGAGGTGATGGTACCTCACTTCCCAGATTCAGTTAGGAAAGACATCATGGCCTCTTTCTTGCTCATTCACCCTCATTCTCACATCAGTTGGATTTCTCACTTTGGGGAAGCCAGCTGACATGTTGAGGATCCCTATGGAGAGGCCCGCATGGCAAGGAACTAAGGCCTCCCACCAACAGCCACATTAGTGAATGTGGAAGTGAATCCTCTGCCCCAGTAGAGCCTTCAGATGAGATCACAGCCCAGTAGACATCTTGTGTGCATCCCCGTTGAAAGTTCCTGAGCCAAAACCACCAGCTAAGTGGCTCCTGGATTCCAGACCCCCAGAAACTGTGTGAGATAATAAATGTGTGTTGTTTTAAGTGACAGAGTTTTGGTGTCATTTATTACACCAGCAATGTGACTTTGAGCCACTCCTCATCTCTTAGCTTCCATTTTCTAATCTGCAAAATGTGTGTCTAATAAGTCCTAGTCATGGGGTGTTATGAAAATTGAATTTCTAGTGGGAGTATTTTCATATGACCTGCACATTTAATGGGTGGTGATTTAACCCATTTCCCTCAGGGGGAATAGGTGACCTCATTAACTCAGATACTCAGAAGGTTAGATTATGAATGTTTAGATGTAACCAAGGAAAAAGAAAAACCATTTAAAACCAAAACAGACCCTAGTTACTTCTGCTTTCTAGCATGAACTATTCACAAAATTCAAAGTACAAAGCTTTAAATTTCCTGTCTAAATAGGAAAGCCAGCTTGTTCTCACACCTTTCAGGTGAGCAGGAAGTCCAAGACTTCCCAGGAACAATCCATAAACTCAGGGAGGGCCTGTCTTATGTACAGAGATGAGAGAGGGTCAGCCAGGTGCAGTGGCTCATGCCTGTAATCCCAGCACTTTGGGAGGCTGAGGCGTGCAGATAACGAAGTCAGGAGATTGAGACCATCCTGGCTAACACGGTGATACTCTGTCTCCACTAAACATACAAAAAATTCGCCAGGTGTGGTGGCACATGGCTGTAGTCCCAGCTACTCAGGAGGCTGAGGCAGGAGAATCACTTGAACCTGGGAGGTGGAGGTTACAGTGAGCTAAGATGGCGCCACTGCACTCCAGCCTGGGCAACAGAACCAGACTCTATCTCAAAAAAAAAAAAAAAAAAAAAGAGTGTGCCTAAGACCCTCAGTCACAGTCTTGGCTTCTCTCTGCCTTGTGGTAGTGCTGATGGCAGCAGGTCTTGGTCCACCAGGCGAGTCCTCAGTTCTATTAGACCCTGCTCAAGTGGCTGTGGACTTCCAGAGGAGACAACCCCAAAATGTCACACAAAACCGGAGGGAGTGCCTCTTGCACAGGCTCCCAGGGTCACCGCAGTTGCCACCAGCGGCACCTGCTCCCCCAGCACCACGGTGCTGTCAGGACCAGTCCACTCTGACTGACATGGAACTCCTTCTTCTGCCCCAGGAAGTCACACTCACAGGCATAGTTTTCCGGGAAGCCAGAAAGAACTCTCCAGACCAACAGGGCTACCTGGCCTCTTTCAATGGACCGCGAATCAGTAATACACTGGGCTGCAAGAAACAGAAAGCTCTAGGAATTGTAGCTTAAGCACATAAGGTTTCCTTTTTCTCACATAATGATAATAGAGAGGCGGAGGTGACCACGTTGGTTCCACTGTCTACCAAAGCTAAAGGATCCAGGCACTTTGCCCTCTGCTCAGCCCTGCCTCCATGGCAAGTTGGCTTTTGTCCTCAGATCTGTTGGCCCCAGGTTGCAAACTGACAGCCACAGCTGCACACTTAGCACCTATGTTCAGGCAGAAGAGGGGTAGCCATTTCTGACTGCTGTCATCAAGAAGCAAAACTTTTCCATAGGCCAGGCAGAGGGGCTCACTCCTGTAATCACAGCACTTTGGGAGGCGGAGGCAGGTGGATCACCTGAGGTCAAGGAGTTCAAGACCAGCCTGGCCAACATGGTGAAACCCCATCTCTACTAAAAATACAAAAATTAGATGGGCGTGGTGGCAGGTGCTTGTAATCCCAGCTACTCAGGAGGCTGAGGCAGGAGAATTGCTTGAACCCAGGAGGTAGAGGTTGCGGTGATGATCTGAGATCATGCCATTGTACTCGAACCTCGACAAGAAGAATAAAACTCCATCTCAAAACAAACAAACAAACAAACAAACAAAAACCAAGCAAACAAAAAAAAACTTCCATAAAGCCCCTGCAGGACATCCCACAGGTTAAAACATCACATGGCTAGCCTATCTGAAGGGAGACTACGAAATGAGTATTTCGCTCTATCAGCCATTACAACAGAGGGTGGCAAAGGAGAAGCAGCGTTAGACAATGAGTATTTCTACAGATGATTTTCTCTGAATGGGTCCCGTCCCTGCGCACGTAACCTCACCAAGAAACTGCCATTCCTCACAGATGATTTACCCTTCAGAAAACACCGAGGAGGCTTCTGGGCCGCCTCTCCCAGAGCAGAGAGAGGGAGAAAACGGGAGGGTGGGGGACAGGGGATGCGGGACAGATGGTCCGCTCAGTGGCAGTGCTTCCTGATCATGGAGGCCATTGATGAATTTGGCAAAGTGTGGGCATGGAGGAGAATAAAGAGGTGGAGAGAAACTGGTCTGCAAAAGAGGGTAAGAAAATTGCATCTAGGAGCACCAGAGGGCGAAATGGAAAGGCAAGGAGCTCAGAAGTGAGAAGGAAACAAAGGCTTTGTAAATTCCAGGGAAGATGGGTCACACAGAGAGCTCAGTGGGATGGGTGGGGGGATGCCCAGGGAAAAGATGGGGAGGGGCATGCCCAGGGAGGGAGAAGCTCAGGGAGGGAGATGCTCAGGGAGGGGGAAGTTCAGGGAGGGGAAGCCAGTGAGGGGGAAGCTAAGGGATGATGATGTTCAGGGAGAGGGATGCTGAGTGAGGGGGATTCTCAGGGAGGGGGAAGTTCAGGGATGGAGATGTTCAGGAAGAGGGATGCTGAGTGAGGAGGTATCTCAGGGAGGGGCAAGTTCAGAAATGGAGATGTTCAGGGAGAGGGATGCTGAGTGAGGAGGATTCTCAGGGAGGGGGAAGTTCAGGGATAGAGATGTTCAGGGAGAGGGATGCTGAGTGAGGGGGATTCTCAGGGAGAGGTAAGTTCAGGGAGGGGGATGCCCAATGAGGGGGAAGCTTTGGTAGGTTTACAGGCTGTCAAGAACTGAGAGTGGGGTGAGAACCAGACTGAACACAAGGATGGTGGCAGAGGAGCCACCCACAGAGTGACTCAGTGCAAGTGCCCGACTGGGGAAGGCAGCTGCCACCACTCCTGCCTCCCCACCCCCACCCCTGGAAGTCCTAACCAGGGCAGGAGGGACTTGAGACCCTGCTCCAGAAGGCGGGGTCTGAGCCAAACTTTCTTGGGTCTCCAAGGACAGGGCTGACTTGCAATTTACTGACACATATGGAAATACTGCAGACATTTACTGGCCGGAGGAAGATGTCCTCACAGGGCACTTTCCCTCCCGTCCTGAGAGGTCCCTGTCACACTATCCCCTGGAAACTGACGGCAGTGTCAAGGGTGGGTGACAGGTATCAGAATCTGAGATTTCTGTTTTGTCCTGGTACTGAGATACGCTGACCAGTCTGTTTATAATAGGTGGTCAGAAGGCAGGTGGTCTTCCTTTGCTTGAGGCCACAGCCGGCAGAGGGGCCCTTAAGTGTCCAGATCAGCCTCAGCCCCGCCCTTTCTTGACCACAAACCAGGAAGTGTTAATAGATGGAGCTCATTTTCCGCCCTTCCTTCCCCTTCTAGATCCCCTCATCAGCCTCTCTGGAGGGTCCCATAAGGCTGTTGGATGATTTAATCAACATTGAGACCTCACTGAGGAGTACCTAGTCAGGGGCTGTCCTAGTCTCAGGAGCCCCGAGTTCCAGATCTTTCTCAGCCCTTCTTACTTCAAAGCTTACCGGGTCTATGTCCTGTCTCAGGGCAGGGATCTGTTAAGGTGTTAAAGTCCACCGAGCGTATGCCTCTTTCTCCTAGGCACTTTTCCCTCAGTGTCTTGGCACAATAGAATGACCCATGAAAATGTCAGGCTGGTGAGAGAGGTCTGGGGTCCTCAGCCATGTCAGAAAGAAACTCACACACAAACTCACATGCCAGCTGGGCATGGTGGCTCATGCCTGTAATCCCAGCACTTTTGGAGGCCAAGATGGGTAGATCACTTGAGGTCCAGAGTTCAATACCAGCCTTGTCAACATGGTGAAACTCCATTTCTACTAAAAATACCAAAAAAAAAAAAAAATAGCCAGGTGTGTTGGCACATGCCAGTAGTCCCAGCTACTCAGGGAGGCTGAAGTAAGAGAATTGCTTGAATCCAGGAAGTAGAGGTTGCAGTGAGCCAAGATCACACCACTGCACTCCAACAAAAAAACAAAAACAAAACAAAAACCTCATCTGCCTACCCAACAACCTTCACACCCACCCAAATCCTGATTCTCTGGAGGGAGCAGGAGGGAGTCCACCTCAGCCCTCTCTGAAGCCACCATCAGGTTCCTCAGCCACCTGCCTTCCCTACACACCCAACTGGCCCTGGCTGTGTCTTCGGCCCCCATCTGGAACATGGAGGTGGGGCTGGGACAACTGGGCCTGAGTTGGGGCTGGGAGGTGGATGTCTCTGTTGGGGCAGACGGGGCCTCTGTCTCCCCTCTCCAGCCCAGGTAACCTGAGCTCAGCATTGTGTCCATCCTGGAACAGCTGACAAGCTGTGGTCAGACAGCTGGTGGGGCTGGGCTGGCTGGGCTGGCCGGGGCGGCCAGGGTGGGAGTGTAGGCTGTTATATGACACCCAGAGCCCATCTCTCTCTGCCCCAGACCTTGGAGCTGCTGTCCCACCCGTCACTGAGAGAGCCGAGGCACCATGCATGGGGCCCAGGGGCCGCTGCTCCTCCTGCTGCTGCTGGTTGTCTGCCCAGGTGGGACATAAAGGAATCTCAGCCTGGAGAGTCCCAGAGCTGGGGTCCACAGCCTCAGGGGACAGAGGGTCTGAGGGCTATTAGGGCCTGCCCTGGACCCAGTTCCCTGAGTCCCCACTTCACACCCCCGGGGCCTCCCCGCTCTTTCCGCCTCCAAGCTCCTGCGCTAGGCTCACACCTGTCTGTTTCAGGGACCCAGGGCCGGAACCAGGAGGAGCGCCTGCTCGCAGACCTGATGCAAAACTACGACCCCAACCTTCGACCCGCCGAGCGAGACTCAGATGTGGTCAATGTCAGCCTGAAGCTCACCCTCACCAACCTCATCTCCCTGGTAAGCTGGACGGAGGAAGGGTCAGCGCACCAGGCCCTGGGACCTACTAGGGATAGCACGGGAGGGCTCCAGCCACTGGGAGGTTGGAGCGCCCCACAGGGGACAGGCTGGGGTCTGAAAAACCCCCATGGTTGCTGGGGGGCGCTCTCAAGAGGCTGGGGGCTGCTTGGCCCCAGCGGTGGCATGTGGAGACTGGCACTGAAGTTGGGGCTGAGCCCTCCATACTGTACCCTTGCACCCCCAGAATGAGCGAGAGGAAGCCCTCACCACCAATGTCTGGATAGAGATGGTAAGAGGCCACCCTGCCACCCTCCTTCCATCAGGGGCCCCACCCTACCACCCCAAGGCCTCCTGAGAGCTGCCTGCCCCTCCCTGCCTCTTCTTTCCCCTTGGGCTGCATGCTCACTCCTCGGGGTGCAGTGTAGCAGAGGGCAGAGGCCTGGCAACTGCCCCTCCCCCTGCAGCAGTGGTGTGACTATCGCCTGCGCTGGGATCCGCAAGACTATGAAGGCCTGTGGGTGCTGAGGGTGCCGTCCACCATGGTGTGGCGGCCGGATGTCGTGCTGGAGAACAAGTGAGGAGGGGGTACAGGCAGGGGTGCGGGGAACAAAGGACACAGGGTCTGGGCCCAGCAGAACAAGGGGGCTCTGGGAAAAGAGAAAGATGAGCAGAGGGTGCAAATCGGGCACCTGCGGGGCCAAGGAAGAACTGGACGGAGCAGGTGCCGAGGGCAGGGCCCTGGGTAAGGCCAGCAGACCAGACCCTACGCCAGGCTGCATCCCCTCTGGGCTGGGCCACCTGGGGGGGCTGCTCCCTTCCCTATAACATGGGGCCACTGACGGCTTCTACAGAAGCTGGCAGAAGTCAATAAGACAGGCATGAAAATTGCACCACTGGGGGCTGGCCCATGGTGTGGGCATAACACGTTAGTCTCTATGATGACTATTATTATTATTATTATTATTATTATTAAAACAAGAGGGAGAAAGAGAAGCAGAAATAAGGAGGTGGTACCTGAGGAAGTCTGCTGGGGCGGGGGGTGGTAGGGAGATTGCTGGGGGGTCCTAGAGGTCTGGGTGAGAACCAGTGAGGGGGTGGCCGCCCGGTAAGGGGGCAGGTGTCTCCAGGCCCCTATCCACACGGGGAAGCGGGGCTGGTCTGGGGCTGGGTGTCGGGGGCTGAGCCCACAGCCCTGTGGCCTGGCCTGTTCTGTGCACGCAGCGTGGACGGCGTCTTCGAGGTGGCCCTCTACTGCAATGTGCTCGTGTCCCCTGACGGCTGTATCTACTGGCTGCCACCCGCCATCTTCCGTTCCGCCTGCTCTATCTCAGTCACCTACTTCCCCTTCGACTGGCAGAACTGCTCCCTTGTCTTCCAGTGAGGCCATTTCTGGGGGAGGATTAAGAGAACCGCTCTCAGAGGGGCCTGTGCAGGGGTGGGGCAGGGGCGAGGCAGGGCCTGAGAAGGGGTGGGGCAGGCCTGTGCAGGGGTGGGGCAGGCCTGTGCAGGGGTGGGGCAGGGCCTGGGCAGGGGTGGGGCAGGCCTGGGCAGGGGTGGGGAAGGCCTGGGCAGGGGTGGGGCAGGCCTGGGGCAGGGCCTGGGCAGGGGTGGGGCAGGCCTGGGGCAGGGGTGGGGCAGAGCCTGGGCAGGGGTGGGGCAGGCCTGAGCAGGGGTGGGGAAGGCCTGTGCAGGGGTGAGGCAGGGCCTGGGCAGGGGTGGGGAAGGCCTGTGCAGGGGTGGGGCAGGGGTGAGGCAGGGCCTGGGCAGGGGTGGGGCAGGCCTGGGCAGGGGTGGGGCAGGCCTGGGGCAGGGGTGGGGCAGGGCCTGAGCAGGGGTGGGGAAGGCCTGTGCAGGGGTGGGGAAGGCCTGTGCAGGGGTGGGGCAGGGCCTGAGCAGGGGTGGGGAAGGCCTGTGCAGGGGTGGGGCAGGCCTGTGCAGGGGTGGGGCAGGCCTGGGCAGGGGTGGGGCAGGCCTGTGCAGGGGTGGGGCAGGCCTGGGCAGGGGTGGGGCAGGGCCTGGGCAGGGGTGGGGAAGGCCTGTGCAGGGGTGGAGCAGGCCTGGGCAGGGGTGGGGCAGGGCCTGGGCAAGGCTTCTGGCCTTGGCTCCGGCTGCACCTAGAGGCCAAGGGCCTGGTTCCATCTCTCCTGGGCCTCTGTGCCCATCTCAGGCTAAGATGCCTGAAGGTGCCCAAGCTCTCCCTGCTAAGCCCGAGTCCCCTCACTCATCCTCCTTCGCTGCCTCCGTTTCCTTGCCTGTGGCCCAAAGGGAGACAGTCATGAGTGGGGTGTGTGGGTGAGAAGGCACACAGGCACACAGCATGCATGTCTGCACACATGAAACCACTGCACACTCCAGGCCCACAGGGAGGCAGGCTGTCCTGTGAGGGAGGGGTCCTGGCCGGGAATCCAGCAGAAGCACGTATGCCTGCAAGCCACCTGTGGGGGTCTCTCGGTCTGTTTCTTCAAACCCAAGAGTGGGGAGGAGGGCCTGAGCGAGGGTTCTCCCGTATCTTAGAGGAGCAGTATCTTCTACAAGCCAACCTGGCAAGGAGACTCCCCTCTGTAGGCCCCGGGGCCCTCCTTCGGTAGGCATGTATTTTCTACATTGCCATCATCAGCCCCTCCTGCCCGACAGCAGTGGGAGGGACAAATGAAGAGTGGCCCTGGGCCTGTCAGCCAGGTGAGGGCCCTGAGCTGCAGCCTCCTGGCCCTTCAGCTCAATCTTCCTGACCCCAAAGGGCCCTAGGTCTCCCTGCCCTCCATGTCTCAGCCCCAGGGTTTCATGGAGAACTCAGAAGCGTGGGGCTGCATTTTGCTGAAGCAAAGCTACCCCAAATTGTCCCCAGATGGTCATCCCTAGGCACACGGCAGGTCTACCCACTCACATTTAGCCTCTTTCCTCTGTGACTCCCAGGTCCCAGACTTACAGCACCAATGAGATTGATCTGCAGCTGAGTCAGGAAGATGGCCAGACCATCGAGTGGATTTTCATTGATCCTGAGGCATTCACAGGTAACACCCACCCAGGGGCTCCCCAGGCAGCCTCATCCAGGGCTCCTGCCAGACCCAGCTGTGGTCAAGGCCAGACCAAGGTCAAATCCCTCTCATGTAACTCAAAATGAAGACTACAGCAAACCGTAAAATATGTTTTTTAAAACATCCAACTAAGCTCTGAGTTTCCTCATGATAATGACTCCAATTTTGAAAAGAGGGGCTCGAGTATCCAATCTCCCACCCCACTTTTGTCCCCCAATGGTGCCTTCCCTGCTGGTGCTTCTTAGGGCGCATGCTGCCCCTGCAGCTGGGTCAGTCGGTCTGTAGGGATCTGCCTGGCCCACACTCCCTGTGCCCAGTCCTGCCTGCCTGCCCACAGAGAATGGGGAGTGGGCCATCCGGCACCGACCGGCCAAGATGCTCCTGGATACAGCAGCGCCAGCCCAGGAGGCAGGCCACCAGAAGGTGGTGTTCTACCTGCTCATCCAGCGCAAGCCCCTCTTCTACATCATCAACATCATCGCCCCCTGCGTGCTCATTTCCTCCGTCGCCATCCTCATCTACTTCCTTCCTGCCAAGGGTACCTGGAGCCTATGGGAGGGAGCCGTCCAGTAGTACAGGGGATACCTGGGAGGCTGGGGCGGGCCCTGCCTGGGACACAGAGTGGCACTATGACCCAGGACAGAGGCAGTGGGCTACTTTTGGGGTAAGGGGGTTCCTCTGTGGGTCAGGGAGGTAGGGACCTGCTCTGAGAGCCTCTTGGTCACGGGCCAGCCGGAGGCCAGAAGTGTACCGTCGCTATCAACGTGCTCCTGGCCCAGACTGTCTTCCTCTTCCTTGTGGCCAAGAAGGTGCCTGAAACCTCCCAGGCGGTGCCACTCATCAGCAAGTAAGGCTGGTCTTCATGCCCACACGCCCACCCCACTTTCCCTTCTTGGGAGCACAGTGGCCTCCGGCACTGCCCTCTTGCCCTCCCTCCACCCCACCATCCTCAATTCAGGAGGCCTGAGGGGGGCAGCCACTAAGGGTGGGGGTGGCATCATGGTATGGGCTGCCAGCTCCTGCCCACCCCACCCTGACAGGTACCTGACCTTCCTCCTGGTGGTGACCATCCTCATTGTCGTGAATGCTGTGGTCGTGCTCAACGTGTCCTTGCGGTCCCCTCACACACACTTCATGGCCCGAGGGGTCCGAAAGGCAAGGATCCTCCCTGCCCACTCCAACATCCTGCTGCCCGCTCCCCCATGCCTCCCTCTCGCCTGCCCCTGGCCATATTCCTCACCTGCAGCATTCCACAGCAAACCCATCCGGGGTGTATCCTGAAGCATGGACCAAAATAGATTACAGTAATACAGGAATAAAATTGCTTACTAGGCACCGGGGATATACCAATGTTAACGTATTTCATCTTCATAAAACCCGTATTATCTCCAGTTATAGATGAGGAAATTGAGGTGTACAGAGTAGCCTGCCCAAGAAAGTGCACTAGAGAGTCGAAAAGGCAGGAGTCTGCAGGGCAGTCTGACTGCAGCCTGTGTGACGTCAGCCCACCTGCAGCCTTCAGCTGGGGTCTTCACTGCACATGCGGATTCCCAGGCCTGCCCCAGGCATGCTAGGCCAGAACAGCATGAGGGTGCAGGGCAGGAATCTGAATCTGTGTTTGTAACAAGTGCCCTGGTGATTCTGATGTGTGCTGAAGTTTGGGGACCCAGGCTCATGTCCAGCACAGAAAGCTCTACCAAGGCCACGTCACTGCCCCGGTGTGCAACCTCCATGGTCCCTAGCTGCACAAGCCCTTCACGCCAACCTCCAGCTTCTACTCCGAAGCTAGACCTGGCTGCCCTAGCGAAGCCACCCCCTCTCTAGGTGTTCCTGAGACTCTTGCCCCAGCTGCTGAGGATGCACGTTCGCCCGCTGGCCCCGGCAGCTGTGCGGGACACCCGGTCTCGGCTACAGAATGGCTCCTCGGGATGGTCGGTCACCAATGAGGAGGAGGTGGCCCTCTGCCTGCCTCGCAGTGAACTTCTCTTTCAACAGTGGCAGCGGCAAGGTCGGGTGGCGGCAGCGCTACAAAAGCTAGGTGAGGCACAGCAGGTGTGCCTGAGGACACTCCTCCCCGGGACCCCAACTGGGGAGCCAGGCACTGCAGGAGTGCAGAAGTGTCCAGGTCAGGGAGAGAGGAGCTGGGGTCCCTAAGGAGAGGCCATCTTCTCTGCCTGTTTCTCCTCCATTCTACTCCCAAACCTTATCCTCTCTTTTCATCAGACAAAGGCTCGGAGTTAGGGCCGAGCCAGTTCTGTGGCAGCCTGAAGCAAGCCGCCCCAGCCATCCAGGCCTGTGTGAAAGCCTGCAACCTCATTGCCCGTGCCCGGCACCAGCAGAGCCACTTTGACAACGTAAGCTGAGTCAGGTGGGATGGGGGTGGAGTGAGTATCTGGGCTTGGACCTGTGATGGAGACAGGATGAGTGGGGTGGTCAAGGTAGGGTGGTGAGATGGTAAAAGAGGGGGCTGGGTGCCGTGGCTCATCTGAGGTCAGGAGTTTGAGACCAGCCTGGCCAACATGACAAAACCCTGTCTCTACTAAAAATACAAAAAATCAGCCAGGTGTGGTGGCGGGCACCTGTATTCCCAGCAACTTGGGTGGCTGAGGCAGGAGAATCGCTTGAACTCGGGAGGCGAAAGTTGCAGTGAGCTGAGCCATAATCACACCACTGCACTCCGGCCGTGGGCAAGAGTGAGACTCCCATCTCAAAAAAAAAAAAAAAAAAAAAAAAAAAAGGAAAAGGAACAGTGGGTAGGGAGAACACCTCAGGGGCAGGGGACCATGGAATTAGCCACCAGTTGGGACACGGGCCTGCTGGAAGCCCAAGGATGAGAACAGGACCCAGGGAAGGCCTGGTGCCGCCGCTGGTTAACCCACACCTGCCTCCCACCCTCAGGGGAATGAGGAGTGGTTCCTGGTGGGCAGAGTGCTGGACCGCGTCTGCTTCCTGGCCATGCTCTCGCTCTTCGTTTGTGGCACGGCTGGCATCTTCCTCATGGCCCACTACAACCAGGTGCCTGCCCTGCCCTTCCCTGGAGATCCACGCCCCTACCTGCCCTCACCAGACTGAGCCAACCAACCTTTGCGGGACATGTGGGAGTCACACATGTGGGTCATACGGGGAGTCTTGTCAGTCAGGTTCTACCACCGAGGTCATAAGCGTGCTCTTTGGGAAGTGCCCTTCAGGACTGTGTGAGCCAAACAGCCCTGAGAAAAGCTGGGGGAAGAGTCCCAGCTGCAGTCCTGGAGTGGCTGAGGGTGGGCTATGGTTAGTGTGCTGCTGTGGTCAGCACCCAAGCAGCACTGGCTAGCTTGTCCTGGCACCGGCCACTCCTGTACTCAGCACACCCCCTCACTTAGGCAAAGAATTATTACTTCTCATCAATCTGAAGCCCAAAGGACTCTTGTTTTGTATGATACATTCAGGCTTGGGACTGGCTCCCTTTATACAAGTTCTCCTTGAAAGAGAGCAGGCAAGAGAAGTGTGAAGAGTGGCAGCCGATGCTTTCTGAGAAGCAGGACAGCAGCCCATGCCAGCTGGCACCCCCTCCCCTGCCTGCTGGTACAGTAAGCACCCAATTCTCAACAGCCCCAGTTGCCTTTCCATTCAGGTGCATTTTTCTGCCACTGACTCCAAGATGATTTCCTGAGTTTTGTGACCCTTTCTTTTTTTTAGTTTTTGTTGTTGTTGGGTTTAGTTTTGAGGCAGACTCTGACTGTTGTCATGCAAGCTGGAGTGGAGTGGCACCATCACGGCTCACTGCAGCCTCAACCTCCAGAGCTCAAACGATCCTGCCTCAGCCTCCCAAGTAGCTGGTACTCCAGGCATGCACCAATACACCCAGCTACTTTTAAATTGTTAGTAGAGATGAGGTTTTGTATATTGCCTAGATTGGTCTTGAACTCCTGAGCTCAAGTCATCCTCCCACCTTGGCCTCCCAAAGTCTTGGGATTACAGGCATAAGCCATTGTATCTAGCCTCCTTTTTAATTAAGAGCTCTGCACAGCAGTATGGACAAGCGAGAGTCATTATTCCCCATGTTATATAGGCAAATTGAGCCTAGAGTAAGAGGGACTCCACAAAACACTGGTGGTTAAACAAGATTTGAAGTCCAAAATTCCTGACTGTGACCCAGTCTGACACTCTAAGATTCTATGGCCTGAAAAATAGGCTCTTCTTCCCAAAGGATGGTTAGGACAAGGAAGAGCTAGGCAAGGAGGCATGGACTTAACATGGAGCCACTGAGCTCTTCATTCCAGGAGGGGACTTTGACTGGTCTCCCTTGACCCCACTAATCAGGTAATAGGGCAGTAAGCTGAGGTCTTCCTGGGGGAGAGGTAAGGTCCTGCTCCGAGATTACAGCTGGCACTTGAGTTTGGCTGGTGACCAGGGGACACCCTTGGGCAAGTCACCTATGCTCCCTGAGCCTGTTCCCTTATTGGTGGTGGCTAACACCTGTGATCCAGGCACCTTGGGAGGCCAAAGTGGGTGAACTGCTTGAGCCTAGGAACCCAAGAACCCAGCCTGGGAAATATAAACCCGATATCTACCAAAAAATACAAAACTTAGCCTGTAGTCCCAGCTACTCAGGAGTCTGAGGTGGGAGGATTGCTTGAGCCCGGGAGGTCTAGGCTGCAGTGAGCTGTGATCATGTGACCACACTTCAGCCTGATGACTCAGCAAGACTCTATCTCAAAAAAAAAAAGGAAAAAAGAAAAAAAAATTACAAAATTTTTTTAAAATGTGAAAGTGCCACATAAAGGCTTGACAACAGGATAGTTGGCAGAAGGAAGCCTGGAAATATGCCCTCCCTCCAAGCACAGGATTGCTGTCTTTGAGCTTCAATCACCAGCAAGTTCATTTTATTTACTCCACTGTGTGTCTGTGGGGGTGCCTGTGCAGTGTGTTTGAAGTAAGAGCAGAGTCAGAGCCCTAGAGTCCTAGAGGGGTTAGGGAGACGGCGGAGAACTTTGGTCAGGGAGGGAATCTGGTGACAGTGGGGCCATTTCAGGTTCCCATAAGCCCCTAACTAGCTGTGTTATCTGGCACAAGTCTCTCAACCTCTCTGAAAGCCTCAGAGGGCAGAGGATTAGCTCCCTGTACAGTAAGCACTCAAAGGTTAACATTAGCTGCCATTACTATGGGTTACTGTCTCATGGAATCCATACAGCAACCTAAGGAGGTAGGTATAGGCATACCTCAAAGATATTGCAGGTTCAGTTCCAGACCAGCACAAGAAAGCAAGTCACATGAATGTTTTTGGTTTCCTGATGCATATAAAAGTTATGTTTATACTATATTGTAGACTAGTAAGAGTGCAATTATGTCTAATAAAACAATATACATACTTACATTTAAAAATACTTTATTGCTAAAAAATGTTAATGATCAATCTGAGCCTTCAGTGAGTCGTACTCTTTTTGCTGGTGGAGGGTCTTGCCTTGATGTTGATGGCTGCTGACTGGTCAGGGTGGTGGCTGCTGAAGGTTGGGGTGGCTGCGGCAATTTCTTAAAATAAGACATCAGTGAAGTTTGCCGCATCAATTGACTCTTCCTTTCATGAAAGATTTCTCTGTAGCATGCAATGCTGTTGGATAGCATTTTGCCCACAGTAGAACTTCTTTCAAAATTGGAGTCAATCCTCTCAAACCCTGCTGCTGCTTTATCAACTAAGTTTATGTAATATTCTAAATCCTTTGTTGTCATTTCAACAATGTTCACAGCATCTTCACCAGGTGCAGATTCCATCTCAAGAAACCACTTTCTTTGCTCATCCATAAGAAGCAACTCCTCATCTGTTAAAGTTTTATCATGAGACTGCAGCAATTCAGTTACATCTTCAGGCTCTACTTCTAATTCTAGTTCTCTTGCTATTTCTACCACATCTGCAGTTACTTCCTCCACTGAAGTCTTGAACCCCTCATAGTCATCAATGAGAGTGGGAATCAACTTCTTCCAAACTCCTTTTAATGTTGACATTTTGACCTCCTCCCATGAATCACGAATGTTTTTAATAGCATCTAAAATGGTGAATCCTTTCCAGAAGGTTTTCAATTTACTTTGCCCAGATCCATCAGAGAAATCACTATTCATGGCAGCTAGAGCCTTATGAAATGTATTTCTCAAATAATAAGACTTGAAGGTTGAAATTACTCCTTGATCCATGGGCTGCAGAATGGATGTTGTGTTAGTAGGCATGAAAACAACATTAATCTCCTTGTACATCTCCAGCAGAGTTCTTGGATGACTAGGTGCATTGTCAATGAGCAGTAATATTTTGAAAGGAATCTTCTTTTCTGAGCAGTAGGTCTCAACAGTGGGTTTAAAATATTCAGTAAACCATGCTGTAAACAGATTTGCCGTCATCCGGGCTTTGCTGTTCCATTTATACAGCACAGGCAGAGTAGATTTAGTATAATTCTTAAGGGCTCTAGGATTTTCTGAATGGTAAATAAGCATTGGCTTCAACTTAAAGTCACCAGCTGCATTAGCCCCTAACAAGAGAGTCAGCCTGTCTTTTGAGGCTTTAAAGCCAGGCACTAACTTCTCCTCTCTAGCTACGAAAGTCCTAGATGGCATTTTCTTCCAATAGAAGGCTGTTTCATCTACATTGAAAATCTGTTGTTTAGTGTAGCTGCCTTCCTCAATGATCTTAGCTAAAACTTCTGGATAACTTCCTGCAGCTTCTACATCAGCACTAGCTGCTTCACCCTGTGTTTTTATGTTATGGAAACGGCTTCTTTCCTTAAACCTCATGAACCAACCTCTGCTAGCTTCAAACTTTTCTTCTGCGGCTTCCTCACCTCTCTCAGCTTTCATAGAGTTGAAGAGAGTTAGGGCCTTGTTCTGGATTAGGCTTTGACTTAAAGGAATGTTGTGGCTGGTCTGATCTTCTATCCAGACCACTAAAACTTTCTCCATATCAGCAATAAGGCTGTTTCGCTTTCTTATCATTCGTGTGTTCATTGGAGTAGCACTTTCAATTTCCTTCAAGAACTTTTCCTTTGCATTTACAACTTGGCTAACTGTCTGCCGCAGAAGGCCTAGCCTTCGGCCTATCTCGGCTTTTGACATACCCTCCTCACTGAGTTTAATCATTTCTAGTTTTTGATTTAAAGTGAGAGATGTACGACTCTTCCTTTCACTTGAGCACTTAGAGGCCATTGCTGAATTATTAATTCGCCTAATCTCAATATTGTTGTGTCTCAGGGAATAGGGAGGCCCAAGAAGAGGGAGATGGGGAACAGTCTGAGGGTGAGGCAGTCAGAACACACACATTAAGTTCCCTGTCTTACAAAAGATGCAGTATGTGGCACCTACAGTGACAATAGCAACAGCAAACATCACCGATCACAGATCACCATAACAGACATAGAAATCATGAAAAAGTTTGAAATATTTTAAAAATTACCAAAATGTAACACAGAGACAAAGTGAGCACACGCTGTTGGAAAAACGGCGCTGATACAATTGCTGGGCTCAGGGCTGCCACAAACCCTCAATTTGTTTTTAGAAAGCCCTATCTGCGAAGCGCAATAAAACGAGGGATGCCATACTAGAGTGGCGCCGCCGCCAAAGGAAAGCCTCCTGGAGGTTAAGAGAGATGCCGGAGGGTGCGTCCCGCACTGGAGGAGGAGGGGGGTTTTTACCAAGCAGCGAGTCCAGAGCCCGCGCCGTCAACGACCGCGGAGCTGTCTTTTTTCCGAGCCGCTGCGGGAGGGTGCCAGGATAGGCTCCCTTAGGAGAACGGGCGGCTCACTAACACCTGGACGGGAAACAAGGCCAGCAGCCAGCTCGGCCGCGGAGGCCAGCCCTCTGCGCAGCCGCCCGGGGCGTCCGGGATAGCAGCCCCCAGCCGGGCCTGCGCGCCAACGTTCCGGTGCGCCTCGCGCAAAACCGGAAGTACCCGGGCCTAAGGCTGAGGGACCTGGTGGAGCGGAAGTCACTCCTTGAGGCAGTGGCGACAGCGGCGGCGAGAGGATGAACAACAAGTTCGACGCGTGAGTGGCTCCTGGCCGCCCCCGGGGCCCCTTCCCCCAGCCGTTCCCCCGCTCCCGCCCCCACTGGGGCTGGGGCGGTGCAAAGCCTGCGGCACCGGCTTCCCTCCCGGGATCCGGCAGCGGCAGGACCTGGCCTGGGCTGGCGGGGAGGAAGGGGCTGGGGAGCGATGGATAACAGGGGTTCCGGGGACCCCACGGCCGTCCGGACCGAGGGCGAAGAGCTGGGCGCGGGGAAGGGGTGGCTGTGCCGCCCTGTAGGGGGAGATTTTCGGACGCCCCGCCCCGACGACGCGGGTTGCCGGCGACGTGGAGGGGTGGGGACCTCGGCGGTTTGGGTGTTTCCGCAGTCTGGCCGCGCTGCCTTTGAATCCAGCTTTCCTCACACACTCACTCCCTCTCCCTTCTGAGCCTCAGTTTTCTCATCTGCAGAGTGGGGACGGTAACAGCCTGTGTCGTAGAGTTTGGAGGATGCAATGAGGTAATGTGGCTGCTGCGCTCGGCGCAGTGGAAGGCTCGCTTCGGAATTACCTTCCTGAGACTCTGCTTTCTTTCTCCTCCCCCTCCCGTGCCTGTCTTCCTACACACTCGCCCAGAGCTAGGGATACTTGTTGCCCTCTCCGGTTGCTAGTTTCAGCATCAGTTTGGAGGTACAGAGAGAAAATGCAAAAGTATTGTTACTTATTCCCCTCCAAGGATTGTATCTTGAGGTAGAATATGCTCCTACTCTCTTCTAGTCACTCTGTCTCTTCATCCGAATATCTGGATTTCTAGTCCCAGACTTACCTCTTACCAGCTGTTTGCAGAAAAGTTACCCAGTCTCTGAGCCATTGTTGGATGGCTATTTACTATCCACTAAACCATGTTAGTGGATAGTAGTACCCTGCTGCCACACCGGGGTGTGAGAAGGGTCAAATCACACTCAGCAACGCTTAAAGATACTTGTGAACATTGCTAATTATTGCGATGTAACCGTAAAGTGGAATTACTATTAGTTTCGGTTGTGACCTGGTGCTATTGATGGGAAATTGTTTTTTTTTTTTTTTTTTCCCATACAGCGAGTACTGTGCAAATTCAGGGAGTACTGGATTTCCAATACTCCAGGCAGATAGCTCCTTAGGAATATTTCCTGGTTGCCGAGAGGTCTCTGCTACTTGAGAAAGTCTTTTCTCTATCCTGCTGTTTAACTGAGCCCATCCCATACGAACCTCTCCCCCGACTCCCACCCCATTTCATCTCTGCTGTAAACCCTGCAACACCCACCTTCAGATCCAAATTCTACCTAAGTGGAGCTTTCTGGGACCCTTATCTCCCTTCCTCCACTGATTTGAACAAATCAGATTTCATCCTAAGAAGACGTCTTATGGGTCATCTAGCTTAAGCCTACCCAAATCATTTGGGGGTCTGCAGTAAGAATGGTAATAATGGACTTCCACAGGGATCTTGCTAGGTACTTTTCATATAAATGTATTTTTAGAGACAGGGTCTCACTCTGTCACCCTGGCTGGAGTGCAGTGGTGTGATCACAGCTCACTGCGCACTTGACCTCTCAGGCACCAGCAATCCTCCCATCTCAGCTTCCAGAGTAGCCAGGACTACAAGCATGTGCTACCCTGCCTGGCTAATTTTTTTGTATTTTTTGTAGAGACAGAGTTTCACCCTGTTGCCCAGGCTGATCTCAAACTCCTGGGCTCAAGAGATCCACCCACCTTGGCCTCCCAAAGTGCTAGGATTACAGGGGTGAGCCACCGCCCCCAACCTCATGTTATTTCTACTCTTAACTATTCTGAAGGGGATCTTGTTATCTCCTTTATGGCTAAGGAAAATGAGACTGAAGTTAAGTAACAGGAAGGGCTGACCCAGGTTTATGGTGTAACCTTGGTTCAGGCAACTTGAGTCAAAAATTAAACTTGTCCTTTTTTTTTTTCTTATGTCTTTAATGAAAAACCTGGGTCATTTTTACTTTGAATTATTAACTATTATATTGAGCCAGAATCTTTTAACATCTGCCCTCTAGCATTGCAAGAAAGAAGAAGAAAAACAAACTTTCTTTGATTTGAAATTAGCAGTTGAAAACAGCACTCCTGGCCCTAGTTTTGTTTTTTTTATGTTGTTTTTCATTGAGAAATTCTGTGGTGTGTAGGCCACTGCTGTATATTTGGAGTCTTTACCATGTTACTGTCTTTACTAACCTTCACTCTTTACCACATTGCTTCTAAGGACATGTTCCAGTTTGCCAGAAGCTTAAAAGTCCAGCGGCTGGAGCTTAGTACATAATCTAGTGGGCTCAGATTAAAGAGTAGCTCTACTCTCCATTACTGTATAGACTCAACTTCTCTGAATGAAACCTTTGATTATAATTGCTTTTGTGGAGAAGGGGTAGACTTGTCAAGTTCTTAGGTCTCATTGCCATTGATTCTATTGATAGGTAAAACCCTAAGATGCTATCACAAAAACTGCAGTCCTGACTTTGTTAAACATGGTTTTCAGATCTAGACAGCTATACTGATTTTGTCCCTATATTGTTAACTTTGAGCCCCTTCCTAACTATCGTCTAAACCACTTATTTGGCACTCATTGCTTTGATTCTAGAGACCATTCATTAAATAGAGATTTGTTTTATGCCGCTGTCTGATGGTGGGGGTATAAAGATGAATTGAACCAAGGTCCTACCCACAAGGAATTGGTCTAGTTCAGAGGGTGAGGAAATACCTGGGCAGAAGCTTAGCAAGCTAACTTAAGTGCCTCTCAGTCTGGACAGCCTCAGAGATGCAAACTGAGTGCCTGAGCTCAGGGAGCACTGATTTTTTCAGTTTCAGTTGTGTCTTGACTGAAATCCAGCTTGAAGCTGGGAAGAGTAGCTTATGGAAAATTGGATATAAAAGATTTGCCTTAAATGTAAGCTCAGATGACAGAGTGGTTGGTTAGCTCCATCCTCAAGAAAGAAAAGCTTTAGATGTAGGCCCATTAAGGTTTCCGTTTACTGTCTTAGAAAGGAGTTCCAAGTGGTCCAGGGATCACAGGAACATTGTTTCTTCTCTGACAGTTATTTTTGTTACTTTTTCCCTGTTTCCTGGTGGTGATCAGCAACAAAACCACTAAAAAGAAAGGAAGGTATATGCTTTCCTTGGAGCTAGCAAAAACAAAATGCTGGGATGACTGGACCCGGTTTCAGCCAAGATCTAATGGCAAGGGACCCCAGAGGCTATAGTGGTACTTGGAAGCTAAGAAGAGAGGAAAATGGTTTGCATCCCAGGGGTGTGCCCCAAAGAAGAGAGTTAAAAGCTGCTGTCCTAGGCCTTAGCAGAAGAGCCCTTGAGTTATCAGGAGACAGAACTGACCATGATCGTATAGCTGGAACAGCTGCAAGCATTTATGTAGGAAAGTTCCAACTCACCCTAGGTCGGGAGAGGTTAGGAAGTGTTTGCAAGAGAAAGTGGCCCATGGTCTGAGTCCTATAGGACAAGGTAACCAGGCAAAGAGGGACTTCTTGAGGAGAGACCACATGATGAGCATAACAGAAGGATAAAATTGGGGCACCACAGTTAGGGTGGTACTACTGGAGTGAAAGGAGTTTGCTGGGACCAGGAAGGAGATGGTATTGGGACATGTGAGCAGAGCAGGGGCCTTTGCACCATGCTGAGGCGTTGGGTGTATCTGTGTGCCTTTTCTCCTCAGCTAGGTCCTTGGGGGCAAGCACTCTAGTAGCTCATACACACCATAGATGCTTGGTAGATGTTAGTAATTTTTAATCTGTCAATCTTGTATGCTAGACAGGCTCCTTTTGAAAAGGAAACCAAGTGGATTCAAGTTTAATAAATGGGAAGGCAATATCATAAGCACAGATGATGGTCTCCTGGATGTCCAGGGAGGCTGAATAAAAGCCAAAGAGGTGGTAGCAGTATCAGCAAAATGAAACTCCCCTCTCCATTTTCTTTGCTCATTTGCTTCATTCTCTTTCCTCCTACTGGCTTTCTCTGCTTTTGTTTATTGTCTTAATTCTCTCAGGGCTTTTCTTGCATGGGACCCATATAGCAGCCTCAGCTCTTGAGTCTGTGATCTTTCATCTCCTGGATGAAATGCTGAGGGGACGAATCTGCACATATTTTTGAGCAAGGCCCTGGGGCATAGGTTATTGCCCAGGCTGGACTGCCATTTGGTCAGGTGCCCTTCCTAGTTGTGTCTTGACAACAGTGGGGATGGTAAGGTTCATGGCACAGAACATAACCTCCTGAGCATGTTCTACAGCTAGGGCTGTGAAATGGGCAGAGCAGGCATGCTGTGGGCATGAAATAGGCAGAGCTAGTCAGTCCCAACATGTGACTAGCTCATTCATTCTGATATTGACTCGGTGCTTTTAATGTACTAGGCACTGGGGATACATGGGCAAAAAAACCAGAAGACAAATACAAAATACTCTGCAACATGTTTATGTATCTGCATAGGATAGTATCTGAATTATAATTGGAGCATTTCTAGTACCATTCTTGAGAACTGCCTAATTTCATTTGACCACACATATAGTCATTGGGGCGAGAAAGATGATTTCAGAGAAGATCTGTGATGAGTTAATGGTCCAGCCCTAGAATAAATGGCTTTCTTATTATCTTTCCATTTATCTTTTTGTCTGGATCCAGTGATTTTTTAGGTATGGGGTAGTTTTGACCACACATATAGTCATTGGGGTAGTTTTGCTGCTCATAAAAGGGTAATCCCTAAAGTACGTTTGACTGCTTGTGAAGTAAGAAAATATTCACTCCTTTTTCAGTCATTTATTTTTCCTTTTGATTTAGCGTTTATTCAGCATCTTCTAGTGCTGCATGTTAAGGCAGCATCTTCCCCTGGGTGCTGGAGATACTGAGATTAAATAAGACACTGCTCTAAAGGAACTCTGTCTAGTAGGAAAAACAGACATAGGAA